TGTAACCCAAGCCAGAGTCCCTGGTCAGGGTGGCTCAGCGTGAGCACATAGCCCTCTCTGCCATGGACCTGTGCTCAGAGCTGACCTTTGACCATCTTGATGCCCCTGGTGAGAAGAGGACCCCTCACAGCCTGATCTGATGTGTGTGTCCCTGTTCCGCCATCTCCATCCTTTGGTTTGTGCTTCCTCCTGTTCCCCACGGCTCTGTCCTAGACGACTCCCTCACACCGGATACCTATGCCAACTGTCCCCCACCAGCATGTAATCTGATGCAAGGCCAACACTGGCACCCAGGAAATAAGAGTTCTGCCAGGGAGCTCTGCTGGAGCTGGAAGAAATGGGTATATCCCGTTCTGTGCTTTTTTACTCTACACGCATGTGTGACTGTGTGTGTGTGTGTGTGTGTGTGTGTGCGTGTGTGTGTGTGTGTGTGTGCGCGCGCGCGCGCGTATGCACATGTGGAGGTCAGAGGTCAACATTAGATGTCTTCCTCAATCACTCTCCTTTTTTGAAGCAGGGTTCCTCAGTGATCCTGGAAATCACTGATTCTATTAGACTGGCTGACCAGCAAGCTCCAAGGATCCTGTCTCTAGCACTGAGACCCTAGGCAACACAGCCATGCTAAGCTTTGTATGGGGTGCTGAGAACTGGGTCCCCATACTTGCACAGCGGAGGATCTCCCCGGCTCCCTTGCTTCTCTTGATGAAACCTTGGCCTGGGCCAGCTCTCCACCCACCATTGCCCATTTGTCAGTGGCAAACACTGGCAGTGTCTAAGCATCAGGTTCCCATGCTGTTGCTCTGGTGTTTCTGTCCTTACCACGTGTCCTTTAAGAAGCACTGTGTGCAGTGGGGCTGGACTGGGAGGAGCGCCTGCTTGAAATGTGAGCTGGTCCTATCCAGCCAGACTGCAGGTGTCTCCTCCCACACCTGTCATGCTCAGCCTACCCCCTGTCCAACTACCCAGGTATCTTTTCTCCCCTCTGATTTCATTAGGGGCTTAATTCCATTTCCTACCCCTCTGCCTTCATGGCTTTCTGTTGTTCCTTCCAAAATACTTAATTTTTGGAAAGCACTGACTCTGGTGCCACTAATCTGGGAGGGAGGAAGGACACCCAGAGGCTGTCTTCTGCCAGTGGGTGCCACCACCCACTCTCAGGCCCTGGTAACCCTCCATCGCACCCATGTTACCTGCCAGGTCGACTGCAAAATGGAACTTAAGGATCCTTCCAACACAGCCTCACTCAAAGCCCCCTTGCTGCCCTGGTCATCAGCAAGATAGGGCCAGAATCTTGACTTGCTGTCAGATTAAAGCCAGGTAGTGGTGGTACACACCTTTGATCCCAATACTTGGGAGGAAGAGGCAGGCAGATCCCTGTGAGTTCAAGGCCAACCTGGTCTACAAGGCAAATTCCAGGCCTATACAGTGAATCCCTGTCTCAAAATACAAAAGAAAGAAAGAAAGAAAGAAAGAAAGAGAAAAAAAGCTAAAATAACAACAGAAAAAAAAACAAAAACAAACAGAAAAATACCACAAAAAAGTAAAAACCTTGGGAGGGTGCCCTACAGTGATTTAATCAGTACCTCCCTAAGCTAGGCCTGTCATGCATACCCTCCTGTGTCTAGATGCCCCACCCTCTCATCCACCATATAGGTGAGAGACAGAGAATTGAGCAATGATGGGACAGAACAGTGTCCCTCAGCTTTCCATCGCCCTGAGGGCCCTTTAGCTGCTAAAGTCAGTGGGAAGAACAACAGGTCTGCCTGTCCCAGCTCCTCATCTGGTCTGGAGGAGGGTAAGTGCCCAGGACCCCTTCAACTGAGTCATGGTCTGTGGCTGATTGGACTTGTGGCTAGGGGACCTTGGCAGGGCCTCACAAGCCATCTGCAAAGGGGAGATGGCCTAGCCCGCAGGGGCTGACCCAGCAGGAACTAGAAATAATGCCACCACACAGAAGCAGAGTCAGCGCACCCCCAAATCGTCAGCTTGGGTTGTGTAAGCTGCAGATGCATTTCTGGGCTCCGCCCTCATGCGTCCCTGTGTCCCCACTGACCTGTGCGCAGCTTGCTCAGCACTCTGTCCCATTCTATCTGCTCCACTCCAGAACCCCCCCCCCACACACACACACACACTGGTTCCTTCACCACAAACTCCTCCATTCTCCGCTACCCTCGCTAGCCCCTTCCCTTCTGGGAACAGTGCCCAAGGAGCAGACCCTGTTTTCGTTTGAGTATCCAAGACAACCTAGAGGAGACAGTGGCATCCTACCTAGGACACAGAGGATGCATCAGAGGACAGATGACAAGGGGTGTCCATAGAGAACGGCTTATTCCTTACAGGAACCCCTTACACTGTAGTGTGCCAGCACATGACCCCAACTGTCCTGTGTTTCAAGGGGCATCAGTGAGCAAGTGGCCAGTTGTGGCACTTGTTCCTTGTAGACTTAACTCATTCCAGGTCACAAGGTGACAAGGAGGAAGGCCAGGGTCCTATCAGGATGCTGAAGCCCAGGTAGGGGAGTTCCTGTACTCTCTCTTCCATGGGATACAGCTTGAGGGAGAAGGCCCGTGGAGAATCAGCCTATCAGAAGGCGGCAACTAAAGTCCAGGATGTTGAAAACCTCAGCCACAGGCTTTGAGTCCAGCTACAGGATGGGGCTCAAGTGGCTGGGAGGGGCATTCAGGGATAGCCTGTGTCCAGGGGTTGTCAGGCTAAGGGCCTCAAGGTAGGCCTTTACAAGGTCATGGGCAGAAGAAGGAAGTCAGCAATCCTGGGAAGCTAAGCAGGCCTACATTATGGTATCGGCCTCCTGTACAGCCAGGGGACCAGGCCTCACAGGTCTTCGAGGTGTCTCTAAGGAAGGACAATCACAGTGGAGTCAAATGGAGACCAGGCCCAGGACCTTCCCAGACACCATTCCCAGCCCTTGGCTGACAGAAGCTAGGGTTTCAGTGCCCCTAGAGACCCCCCTCCACTTTCCAGGGCCTGTCCACACAACTGACACAAGGGGCTGCCACTTCTACCCAGGCATCTGTCACCTTGAGTGGTCAGCTCACCCAGCGCTCTCTGTGGCCATGGTTCTCATAAGTAGGAGCCCAGAGTAGGGTTCCTGTGTTACAGGGGTACAAACTGAAGTTTGGACACTGGTAAGTACATTCCCTGCTCCTGCAGCTCTGAGGTGGGGCAGCGAGATGGTAACTGAGCACTGGCCCCAAAGCCACATGTTCTCACTGGGCACAGTGTGTCCAGGATGACGGAAAGGCACTGAAGAAACAGCCTTCCTTCGCCTTTGCCCGCAGTTCTCCAATGGAGCATGCGCACTATGCCTGCAAAGCACCAGCTTTAGGGCCCGGGGTCAGCCAGTCAGCAGATTGGCGACCAGAGCCCTCACGTGCTCTATGAGCCTGAGACTTGAATGGAACCTCTTCCCGGGTACTGTGCCCGACTCGTCCCACATTTACGTTTGGGTCCTCTCAGTCTGCAACTGCCTGGGTAACTTCCACAACCTAGCACGTGTAACTCTGGAAACTCAGTGACTCCTGAAAACACAGACTCATGATGACTCTGTGAGTTGACAATGTTGTTTCCTCAAAAAAGCCTGTTTGGGAGGAACTGGCTGGGAGCCGCTTAATAACAAACCCTTCAGGCACCCGGCCCCGGGCGCAGTAAATGTCCTGACTCATATCCCGTGTCTGGTGCCTTGCATGTGTAGAGTATGCATGCAAATGGACCTGTGTATCTGTGCATACAGCATATATGTGAGTGAACATGTACACAGCATGAGTATGGATGTACTATGAACATGTATGTGCTGTGAACATGTATGTAAGTTTGTACGTATGTTGCTGTACAGGACTGTCTTCTGTGCCAAAGTGCCACCATCTTCAGTAGTTTGGCTGAGCCTGCTCACAAAAGATCAGCTGGCTTGTTGACTGTTGGCTTCCCTCATGGAAGGAAGGATGGGAGGAGTCATGGTACCTGCCCCTGAGTATACAGCCACCCCTCCCACCAGACGTGTGCAGTTCTGCCTAATGACACGTGGTCTCAGGTGGGCTGGCTGTGGCTGGAGACCTGTGCTGAGGACCTCAAATGTACCATGCCTTTTCTTCATCTCTAAGGGATCTAGAAGGTTCTATGAACTGGATGTCCTCCCGCCTGGGCAGGGTGGCTCCGGTAGGTCAGTGACAAGGACTGTGCTTCCTACAGCGTCACACACAGCTGGGGCCCGGTCGGTCTCCAGCCACACCCAGCCAGTCTGTGGCAGTACCGACCCCATCCCCACACTGGATATTGGACAGATCTGGGCTCCAGGGCTCGGCTCCATTAGGGCTTTCCTTTTCAGGTCAGGGTGGCTAGACAGTGATCACCAGGCAGAGGACAGGAGCTCTGGGGAAGGTAAGCCAATGAGGCTTCCTCAGACACAGGAAAGAACAGGGTGGACTGATCTCAGCCCCGACCTACTGCCCATCTCCCTTCATCCTGGCCGGGCTGCAGCAGCCAGTGGCTCACCTCCTTAGGGGAAAGTGAGGAGAATGGTCCACACTGTGAGGCTTTCGAGGGAAATGGTGTTTCTGAGTGCTGACACGCTTGGGCTCTTGTCACTACTGCTATCCCAGGGATCCAGTCAGCAACAGAGAGGGACTGCTATTCTCCCCATCCCCTGTGGGCTAGATGGCAAAAAAACAGTGATGGGGTCACCAAGGGTATCCAGGCAGGAAGAACCAGGAAGGCTAAGAGACAGCACAGGAGGGGCCTGTGCTGGGAGGGGCCTAGCAGGGGGCCTATGTGGTAAAGGGGTAGGGATGGTGTGGGACATCTCCAATGTGTAGATGATGGAGGAGAGGGATATCCGAAGAGGGAGGGATGGGGGAGAACCTGGAGGAGGCACTGGGCCAAGGCTGGACTCAAAGCCAGGAGCATCTGGGTCAGTCCTAGGTGAACAGCCCCTGTTAGAATATTAACACACACACACAAAACCAGCTCAAGAAGAGGACATGGGATAGGCAGAGACGTAACATTTCATGTTAAGCACCTTGTAGAGTGAAGGTGATGTGTTCTCATAGAAATTATAAATAATGAAAAATAAGTATTTAGAAAAAGAAGTGCAGATCCCACAGTGGGTGGCCAGGGGATTCTTTGGTTAAGCAGCAGGTAAGGCCCAAGGTCTGGGTTCGTTAAAACCCTCCGAGATCATCTGCCAGGAAGGCCAACAGGTAGCGGCTGACATGCCTGTCAATGATGACGGGTGAGAAGGCAAGGATGCGACGGGTCCCAGGAAGCACTTTGGGGTCTAGAAGACAAAGGGAGAAATGATAATCCAAGGACCAGCCATTGGTCACTGTCCAATTCCAATTCCCACAGTCTGCTTAGAGCGTTGGGGGCCTGCACTCACCTGGAGGGCAGCAGTAGAGGAGGAGGGCCAGGCCTGCCGCCAGGCCTAGGCCTGCCAGGAAGCTCATGGGTCCTGGGGAGAAAGGAGTGTGAATGGCCTGTAGCAGTGACTGAGGACTACAGGGGGGCTGTCCCCCAACAGAAAGCCAGGAATAGAACCCGATGTGGGATGGAGAAGCCCCTGGGACACAGACAGAGCCCTGAGGGAAAAGGGAAAGAAAAGGAGGTGGCGGGGGCGTTACCCCTGTCACTCAGCTCACGGCTCTCGCTGCCCCAGTCCAGCTCTCTGCAATCTGAGTTTTCTGGAAACAAAATTACAGAGCATGATTAGTAGAGGGCTGAGCTGAGAGCGGGGTTGTCCCCAGGGAAGCCCAAGGCGGCGCCTCTGCCTCCTGAAGGTGCTGGGCTCACACGTTTCTTCATGGCCACTGTACCTAGTGCCCTGGGCAGGCCCAGTTGGTCACATAGAGAGATCAGCTCTCCAGAGAACACTGCATAAATTTGGGTTTCCTTTGGTCTAGTTTCTAGGATATCATAGGTGTGGAGTAGGCTACTGTGTCCTTTTGGCCACACATCATCAAATGCAGGACAAATATCCACTATCAAGAGCCACCTGCTAGCATCATAGGGACTGTCATGGCAGGCAGAGGAGGCCAGAGCTTTTCCCTAGACTTCCCCACGGGGTTAGCAGACAGATGACATGCCACAGAGACCCTGGGGCACCCACGGACCAGAAAGTGCTTCATTTCCAGTAGGGACATGGCTTGGATCCAGCTGGGTTCTAAATAAAGCCCAGGGAAGCAGTTTTTGTAGAGATGGGGGAGAAAGCCAATTCAGTCTGTCCTCAACTGTTCCCACTGTGCCATGTGAGGTCTGGGGAAGACTCCTCGGGATCAAAAACACCAGCCCAGGGTCCCAGCTGAGTGCATGGGCAGAGTCACCTCATCTGTCTGTCTGGAGCAGCAGAGCCTCCTTTCAGGTCCCCTGGCCTTATTCCAGGTCCTAGCAGCTCCAGTGATCCCAGACCTTTGGGACCTACCTGTCACCTAGAGCTCTGAGATCACACTGTCTCTCACCAACCACCCACACCTATACCCAAGGATGCCCTACAGAAACCCCACATGAGCAGACCGGTGAATACAAAAGGTAGACACAGCCTTGGGGTCTACGCAGGCTTGGTAACTCCCCGTTGGGATGACCAAGGGGCAGCACAGGGCTGTGAGAAGGAAGCTGCTATGAACTGAGAAATGAAGACACAGACATGGTAAACAAGGGGGTCAGACAGGATACATGGAGCACTGGCTTCTGTATGAAAACTGGTACGGGGGAGGGGAAAGAGAGAGGGAGAAAGGACAGAGGGAGAGACAGACTGATATCCACCTCCCTAGGTGGTCTCTGAGGAGGAATGGAGAGGGAAAAGAAGCCCAGGTTGAGCTGCTGCAGACTCAGATGGGCCCTGAGGACCACCATGCAGCTCGCAGTTGGCGCCCTCCCTGGTCAGTGTGAGGTGCTGCAGGTAGGGATGTGGGGGGAGGGACTTACGAAGAGTGTGGCGGCTGGGCAGGTTGCTGTGCAGGGGCTGGGCATGGATGTACAGTGCTCGGTAGAATTCCTGGCAGTGCCGCTCCCCACGCTGCTGCAGGTGGCTCAGAAGGTCACAGAGCCGCACACGCAGAGATGCCTTGGGGTTCCGGAACTGGGGGCAGAAGAAAAGGTGGGCTGAAGGGGGGCAGCTGTGAGGTGGTCCCCTCGGAACCCCAGCCTCAGTACCACAGACCTCAGAATGCTCTCAATCTCTCACACCACCTGTGTGGCACCCAACACTGGAGTAGTTAGTTAATTAACCGGCTAAGTCTCGGTTAATCCTTGTGTCTCTAGGGCTACAGGCTGGGAGAGGTCACCAAGGAAGCAGGGTGTGGGGGACATCACCCTAAGAAATGACACTCGGTGTAGATCCTTCCCATGTGGCCTCAGTGAGTCACTTCAACCCCCTGAGACGCAGTTTTCATAAAAAGAAAATAATCCCCCGTGGTGGGTGGTTACAGAGAACGAATGGCGGCATCCGTGACAGTTGCTCTTACTTTTCAGACTGTGGGAACAAGTGTCTAGTATTTCAAAAGTCAGTTGAGAAAACAACAGTTTCTTCTGATGAGGTTGTGAAGGTCAGTAGACAGACCACTTGGCACTGAGTCCAGAAACGGGAGCCTGTGGTCTGTGCTGCCCCCTGATGGCTACAGCTGAAAACTGACCAGAGATAAGGGGAGCAGTAGGGCCTCTGAGAAGCGAGTTCCCCCTTTGAGGTATAAGCATCTGAAGTTTATGCATTTCTTATTGCAACAATGAGATGAATTTGAGCCTGTCACTTTTTAAAATCACTGGGTGGTTCACACTAAGTGTCTAAGTTGACACAAAGCCCGGGGACTGCATCTAAAGTGCTATCTCCGGCAGAACAGTCATGGTGTCTGTGCTGTCTCTCAGGCCTCAGTAGTCCCTTCTGCCAAATGGCGTGATGACTTCAACTATTTGTAGGGCTGTGGGTGAGAAGCAGAGATGACCCAGAGAGAGTGTGCTATTCACCTGGCTCAGGGGAACCAGGTCACATTCCAGTCTCTGAGCCAAGTGGATAGCATGCTTCTTCCACAGATGCTGAAGCTCCCAATGGGACCAGTCTCCCTCAAGCCTGCTGAGTAGGCAGGCCAAGCCTGGCTGCGGGATGAGGTCAGCTTCCCCTGCCCACCTATCACAGGCTGGGCCTTTTGGCCTTACAAATGCAAGGAAGACTGACCAGCAAAAGACAGTGAGTCTTTTCATACTTTGACCCTCTGGAAAAGCCACGGTGTGGTTCCAGGGTACCAGTAGGTCCAGACTTCTGGTGTGTGTGTGGTGTGTGTGTGTGTGTAATCTGTGTGTGTCTGTGATGCACAATTGATAAAAACTCAGAGAGATATATTGGAATTTAACCTGAAGGTCAGAAAAGCAAAGCAGCCAACCACTGGCTCTTACCTTTACCTAGTTCAAAATGGCGATCCTGCCTCCAGGAATTTCAGAATGAGACTGTGTCTGAGAGCTGTCTCCTCCTGCTTTATATTCCTCTCTAGTGCTGGGATTAAAGGCATGCACTGCCTGATTTCTATAGCAAACTAGTGTGGCTATTGTATTAAAGGTGTGTGTCAACACTGCCTGGTCTGTAAAGCTGATCAGTACATCTGTTTTACTCTCTGATCTTCAGGCAAGCTTTATTTATTAAAATACAAATGAAATATCACTACATGTTTGTGTGTGTGTCTACATGTGTGTGGGATGTGTATGTGGTGTGTCTGTGTGTCTACACATGTGTGGGGTGTGTCGGTATGTGTGTATATGGTATAGGGGTGTATGTGTGTATGTGAGGTGTGGGTGGGTGTGGATGAGTGTGTTTGTGTCTCTGTGTGTGAGTACACATGTGGTGTGTGTGTGCGCAAGTATGTGTTTATGTGCTTGTGGGTTAGGTGCCTACCCATGGTGCATGCAGAGGCCAGAGGTTGATATCAGGATGCTTTCCTCAATGGCTCTGCACCTGACTATTTTGAGACAGCATCTCTCATTGAACCTGGAGTTCACAATTTGACTAAACTGGTTAGCCAGCAAGCCCCTGGGCTCTATGTCTCTGTGTCTGCTGCACTTACAGGTTCGAGATCCAAACTCAAGTCCTTGTGTTCACACAGAAAGCATTTTACCAACCGAGCTATCTGCCCAATTCCACATCCAGACTTCCGATCCCTCCTTCCTCTGCCTTCCTTCTATTATTATGTTGTTGTGTGTTCTAATTTTATGTCAACCTGACACAGTAGAGTCATCTGAGAGGAGGGAACCCTAACTGAGAAAATACTTCCATAAGATTGGGCTGTAAGATAAGCCTGTGGAGCAATGATGGGGGAAGGCCCCTGCCCATTGTGGGTGGTGCCATCCCTGGGCAGGTGGTCCTGGGTTCTATAAGAAAACAGACTGAGCAAGGCATGAAAAGCAAGTCAGTAATCAGCATCCCTCCAGGGCCTCTGCATCAGCTCTTGCCTCCAGGATCCTGCGCTGTTTGGGTTCCTGTTCTAACTTCCTTCAGCTATGGATGTGGAAGCATAAGCCAAATAAACCCTTTCATCCCAAAATTGCTTTTGGTCATGGTGTTTATCATAGCAAGAGCAACTCTAAGAGACTGTGTATCACCTCCTGCAAACCTTCTCATAATTCTGGAAGGGCCAGCTACCACAGGACCATCTGGAGAAACTGAGGCATCAGCATCAGATCTGATGACAGGAGGCCACTTGCAGCTGACCAAGTGCAGCTGTGACTCCCATTCCTGAGATGGTATGGGAGGTCCTTCTGTCTATGTGTTGCTTTTATTGGTTAATGAATAAAGAAACTGGCTTCCCATTATAATTCAGAGTAGAGCTAGGTGGGGGTGGGGGAGGACAGGACTAAACTGAATGCTGGGAGAAAGAAGGCAGAGTCAAGGAAGACACCGCCATGTAGCCCCATGGGAGACAGACGTTAGAAATTTACCCAGTAAGCCACAGCCTCGTGGCAATACACAGACTAATGGAGATGGGTTAATTTAAGATATGAGTTAGCCAGAAATACACTAGAGTCATTGGCCAAGCAGTGTTTTATTTTTTTTAATTTTTTTAAATGTTTATTTATTATGTATACAATATTCTGTCTGCATGTATGTCTGCAGGCCAGAAGAAGGCACCAGACCTCATTACAGATGGTTGTGAGCCACCATGTGGTTGCCGGGAATTGAACTCAGGACCTTTGGAAGAGCAGGCAATGCTCTTAACCACTGAGCCATCTCTCCAGCCCCCGCAAGCAGTGTTTTAAATAATATAGTTTCTGTGTGATTATTTCGGGTCTGAGCTGCAGGGCGGCTGGGAAACAAACGAGTAGCCTCTTGCTACACTAAAACAATTCAAGGCCTATGCCAGCTTCTCCCAGCTCAGAGAGGAGTGTTGCAAGATATCTGATTATACTGTGTTAAGGTGTGTCACTGTGACTGGTTTTTAAAAAAGTTAAATGTCCAATAGCTGGGCAGGAGGTATAGGTGGGACTTGTGGACAGAGAGAGCTCTGGGAAGAAGAAAGGGGGAGTGGCCAGTCAGACACAGAAAGCAGGAGGTGCAGGAGAGGAAAAAGCTACAAGCACACGACAGCATGCAGATTAATAGAAATGGGTTAAGTTATAGAGGTGGTTAAGAACAAACCTAAGCTAAGGCCGAGCTTTCATAATTAACAAAAGTCTCTGTGTCGTTATTTGAGCCCTGACTAGAGGGAGAGAGAGACCTGTTACAGAGGGGGCATGCCCAGGTGGTTACCCGGCCCCGCTCACCCCTCAGCACCTTTTCCGCCTCTTTGTTGGTAAGGATTTGTGGGTAGTAGCGGTTCAGCTGGAGGATGATCCTGTCCACTTGTTGCTCGCTCAGGCGACCCTGTCCGGTCAAGAAAGGTGTGTCTTGTACCAGCCGGTCACAGTAGGTCTGATCTGGAACACATATGGATAGCATGGGTGAGCCAGCGCAGCCTTAAGAGGCACCAAATACGGCATCCTTGGTGCTGACCACAGGAGGCCCACACTTGCTGGAAGGGCAGCAGTCTCTCTGGAGGGTGCAGCTACAATTCTCTCTCATGTTAACCACAACGAAGAAATCTACAGAATACACATAAAATAAATCAAAATGTTACCACAAAATATTGACTAAACACAAAAGGAGTCAGCAAAGGTAGAAACAAGGGCTGTAAAAGCTAAAAGGCCTACAAAATACAGATAGCAGAGACAAATCTTTCATTCTCAGCAATTACTTTAAATGTAAATAGGATAAACTCTCTAATCAAAAGGCAAAGATTGGCAGAATGGCCTTAAAAACATATGCTCCACTCTTTCTGGTCTTGGCTCCAAGGTTACCAAAAGAAGAAGAAACAGCAGTCATGCCAAAAAGAGTTGTGGCCATGTGCGGTCAATTTGCTGCATGAACTGGACCCGGTGCATGTCCAAGGACAAGGCCATTAAGAAGCTCGTCATTTGAAACCAGAATATTGTAGAGGCCACTGCTGTCAGATGCTAATCTGAAACTTTGACGCCTGTGTGCTTCCCAAACTCTGTGTCAAGCTGCATTACTGCGTGGGCTGTGCTATTCATAGCAAGGTGGTTGGGAATCGATCTCACGAAGCCTGCAAGGACTAAATACCCCCACTACGATTTAGACCTGCTGGTGCTACACCCCATTCTTTGTGTAAAGAAGCAGCTTTGTGAAGACAGAAGAAAGAAAACTCCTTGGAAAAATAAAATGTGACATATACTTAAAAAAAATGCTCCAAGCCGGGCGGTGGTGACGCATGCCTTTAATCCCAGCTCTCGAGAGGCAGAGACAGGCGGATCTTTGTGAGTTCAAGGCCAGCCTGGTCTACAAGAGCTAGTTCCAGGACAGGCTCCGTATCTACAGAGAAACCCTGTCTCGAAAAACCAAAAAAAAAAAAAAAAAAGGGGGGGGCGCTCAGAGGTTAAGAGCATTGCCTGCTCTTCCAAAGGTCCTGAGTTCAATTCCCAGCAACCACATGGTGGCTCACAACCATCTGTAATGGGGTCTGGTGCCCTCTTCTGGCCTGCACGCATACATGGAAGGAATGCTGTATACATAATAAATAAATAAATATTAAAAAAAATGCTCCAACTAAATACCGACAAGACGCTCACTGAAGACCTAAAGACACAAACAGGTTGAAAGTAAAGTGAGGAAAAAGACAGCCCACCTAGGCGTGTCCAACCCTTTGACACTTCAACATGGGAAGTTGTCATCTACAAACATCATGCTCAAGAGCAATTTCCTAGTGTGAAGTCAGCTTGCAGTTTTGTGTTGGCTACAGTCACAGCTGTCCTCAGCCAGCCACATGTGGTCACAGGCAGCAGGTTGAACACACTTGATTGTAAACATAAACCAGACCAGAACACGGTGGTTGGATTAGAATTAGACTAAATAGACTTTAAGTCAAAATTGGTGCAAGGGATTAAAGGGCAAACAGCATATGTGGATTAAAGGTTAAGTCATCAAGAATATGTAACAACTATAAACACACCTGCACCAAGTATCAGAGCCCCAATGGGGAAATATTGATGGAACTGAAGGGAGAAACAGACAACTCTATGATATTTAAAGATGTTCATATACCACTTTAAACAACAGACCAGACAACTAGATAAAAGATCAATAAGGAAATGGAAGGCTTGAACAGTATCTAAACTGTACCTAAAAGTCATACGCAGAAAACACTACCCAGTAATAAAAAAAACACACTTTTCCCAAGGGCACATGGAACATACTCTCGATCACAAAACATACAGATCTTAAGCCACAAATAAGTCTCAAAATATTTAAAAGCATTTCAACTGAAGGCTCTTTTCAGATCACATGACATGAAGCTAAAAATTGATACAATCAGAGTTTACAAATCTGTAGGAATTAATACAGTTGTTCTCAACCTTCCTAATGCTGTGACCCTTTTGATACAGGTCCTCATATTGTGGAGACCCCAACCATAAAATTATTTTCACTGCTACTTCATAATTGTAATTTTGCTACTGTTATGAATAGTAATATAGATATCTGTGCTTTCTGATGGTCTCAGGTGACATCTGTGAAAGGATCATTCAACCCTCAAAGGGGTCACAACCCACAGATTGAGAACCACTGAAATAACAGGTCAAAATGTGGTGAGGGAGGTCCTTCTGTCTATGTGTTGCTTTTATTGGTTAATGAATAAAGAAAATGGCTTGGCCTATAGCATGGGAGGAGGAAGGCAGAGTTAGAGAGAAGCTATGGAGCCACTAGAGGTAGACGCTGGGAACTTTACCCAATAAGCCACAGCCACGTGGTGATATACAGATTAACAGAAATTGGTTAAATTAATATAAGAGTTAGCCAATAAGAAGCTAGAACTAATGGGCCAAGCAATGATTAAATTAATACAGTTTCTGTGTGATCATTTGGGAACCAACAAGCAGCCCTTCTCCAACAAAAATGAAACCACAAAATACATTGGAAGCAACCTGAGTCAAATGAGAAACACACCAAGACCTAAGTAATGGAGCAAGCATACCTCTGAGAGGGAGAAGCAACAGCCATAAATAAATTCACACAGTTTACAAAGAGAGAGCTTGGGTCAGGTGTGGCATATGCTTTAATCCTACCACTCTGGAGGCAGAATCATGTTGATTTCTATGGGTTTGAGGGCCACCTTGATCTATGTAGAGTCTGGGCTAAATGGAGTTACATACTGCATAGTGAAACCTCGTCTAAAAAAAAAAGTTAGCATTAATGGCTAACCATTACACCTCACCAACTTTAAAAAAGAAAAAAGACAACTAAATTGGAAGGGAAGGAGGAAGGGACTAGAACAACTAGACAAGTCAAACAGAGCTAACAGAAAGAAGGGAATAGCCAATTAGAGTGAAGACAACCTCAAGAACATTTTTTTTTTTTTTTTTTGGTTTTTCGAGACAGGGTTTCCCTGTGGCTTTGGAGCCTGTCCTGGAACTAGCTCTGTAGACCAGGCTGGTCTCGAACTCACAGAGATCCGCCTGCCTCTGCTTCCCGAGTGCTGGGATTAAAGGCGTGCGCCACCATCGCCCGGCTCCTCAAGAACATTTTTAAAAGAGAAAAATCAACAAAACCAAAGTCTATCCAACTTAGTGAAGCCCTGTGTCAAAATAAAAATTTTAAAGATACATTTCAGTGGTATCTTTCCTAGCATGCACAAGCTCCTGGGTTTGGGCCTCAGTACTGGAAAGAATAAACTAGAGACATGAAAAGATGTGGAGGGGCCTTAAACACACGTCATTGAGTGAAAGAGCCCGTCTGAAAAAGCCTTATTGTTCTAATTACACCACACTACAGAAAAAGCAATACCAAGGAGACAATAAAATCAGGGGTTGCCAGGCATGAGGAGGAAGGGAGGGATGAGTAAGCAGGGCACAGGGGAGGGTTAGGCAGTGAAACTATTCTGTATAATGGCATAAAGCATTTGTCAAAGCCCACTGAACGTCCAACACAAGGAGAAGATGCTAGTGCAGATTCTGGGCTTCGGCTAACAATAACAAAATGATAGAAAATGGTAATGATATGAAGGATGGAAGGGGAGTCATTTTCCTCAATCTCTGCACTATCTGCTCAATCTTCAGTCAACTGTCCCCCCGAAAAGGCCAGGCAGTATACACCCAGGCACTATAGGCCCAGGCAGTATACACACAGGAAGTATACACACAGGCAGTATACACCCAGGCAGTATGCACCCAGGCAATATGCACCCAGACAGTATACACACAGAGAGTATACACCCAGGCAGTATGCACCCAGGCAGTATGCACCCAGACAGTATATACACAGACAATATACACCCAAGCAGCATGCACCAGGAAGTATACACACAGACAGTATACACCCAGGCAGCATGCACCCAGACAGTATACACACAGACAGTATGCACCCAGGCAGTATACACTTGCAGTCCTAGCTACGAGAAAGGGTGTGGCAGCCTGAACAACAAAGAGAGGCTTTGGCTCAAAATAAATTCAACTAACAAGTAAAGTCTATTAAGAAAACTTATTTGAAAATTTCCATTGTTGATGTTTATGGAAAAATTGGGGCAGGAGGGGGAGTCATGGAAAGCAGAGCAACCCTGAGTAGGAATGCATTGAGAAGGAGCCCAGAGGATATTCTCTCACACCTCTGGTCCCCTGCTCCTTCCTCTGGCTGGTCTGTCTTCTGACTCCTGCACCCTCCCATCCCTAGTGGCTTGTGGGGGTGTCCTTTCTACCCAGGTGGGAATAGCCTAAGAGCATGCCCACCCTATGCCAGGAACTTGGGGGTATTTTCCAGGGGTTCACAGTGTAACAGTGGGGGCTGCCTTCACCAAGGACATCCTCAGCCCAGGAGCCTGCTCTCAGAGGCTAGGGCTAGGGTTGTCCTGGTTGATAGTCATTGCTCCCCCAAGGCCCAGTCATCAGCCATTCCATCCCCTCTCTGCGGCCATCAGCACCACGCCATCATGGCTGCTGAGGACTGGGAATATTGGTAGAGCCCCTGAAATCTGTGTAGAAGACAGACTTACCAACAGCCCAGGGACACCCAGTAACTTGCCATATTACCAGGTGCCTTAGGTAGGCTGGCTCCAACGCCTGCAGCATCTCATTAACGAGTTCAGATGAACACTGAGCTGACTCAAAAAACAATCTACAGGCCAGGCATTTTCTGGTCCTATTTACACCTACTTATAACCTCCATCCTCCCACTGGCTCTACAACTTCCACCCTCTCAGATAGGGAAATGAAGGCGTGGTAAACTTACAAAACTGCAGTTAGCACGGAGGTGACACAGCCACGCTGGGGCTGCCTGTAGACACCCCTGGTACATTCTGTTCTGTCACTAACATATGGATCACTTTGAATTCAGGGGTCTGCTGTCCCCACACTGTGCCAACGTGTACAGGGCTGAACACACAGTAGGCACTCACAGAAGAGTTCTGGAATGAATGGGCTCCAGTCCAAGGTCCAAAGGCGCGGTCTACCGGTAGATAGAGGCCAGAGCCTCATAGCGGCCTCCTCCCACCCTGAGAGCCGCTAGTTAGCCAAGATGGGACTCTGCTGCCCACAAGTCATGAGTCACAGGAGCCCTGAGTCACCTGCCATGGGTGGCCCAGCCCAAGGGTTGAAGCCAGATGCACCAGAGCAAGGCATTTCCTGTGTTTCCTGCGGCTCTTGTAAACTATGCATGCAACCACATATAGGCAGCCACTGGGTATCACGGAGACTCGGCAAGGCTCTGCCTGGATACCAGGCCCCTGTAAACAAGGCCTGGAATGCCTTTACTAGATGAAAGCAGATGGACCGCTCTGTGCAGAATCCATGAGCCTTTGCCTGTACTTCCCCTCCCTGCCAGCTGGTACCACGAGTATGGCCCTTCACATCATCTTGAACTTCTGCAGCTCAGACCGAAATCCTTACTCTGGCATTTGGGATCCTGAAGCTGCGGGCCCCACAAGCCCTTACTCTGCCATAGGGGTCCCAAAGCCTTCTTGTCTGCAGCTCACAACCACAGAGTCAGGACCCAGGCAGTAGGCTGAGAAAACCTGGTTGATTCATGCCCAGCATATTTAACCCCCTTCTGGGAATTCACTCTCCTGGGGTCTACAACTTGGGCATCAACTTCCCCTGAATCTCTTTCAGAAGCTCGTGTCATCACTGCATGGGTGACTATCTATTTTGTGCAGACACAACTCTCAGTGTTCTATAGCCATCAACACACACACACACACACACACAGAGAGAGAGAGAGAGAGAGAGAGAGAGAGAGAGAGAGGATGCAAAGATTAATTTGTATGGTAGGCCCCCAGCAGGTGCACTAGGACCACAGAACAATGGATCTGTGGCCCCAGAGCTGCCCATCCAATCCTCTCAGGCTTCTGTCTTACAGTCTCCACCTCCCACCAGAAAAAGGAAGGGCGATGAGGTGTCAAAAAGCCATCAAGTAGATGGAAAAGAGAAAAAGTGTTTGTCATTGCCATCGGCCACAGGCTGGCTGTGTCCTCCCAGCTAAAAGACACCCCATCCTCTACCGCAGTCCCACCTGTTCTCCTAGAGGTGGGATGCCTCATTTTCTACCGGTACCCTATCTGTGCAGTGGGCCCTTGGAGACCAACACAGCTGAGATCTGTCCCACACATCCTAATGAACTTACTAGAGGATCTGGAAAACCAGAGGCAGGGCAGGGCCCAGCATGAATGCTGAGACCAGGCCCCCCATTCTGCTCCTACCACTGACCAGCAGAGTGGTCTGGGGGCACTTACCCAGCCTGAGATTTCATCTCTCCATCCCTAAACAGGTTTAATATTCCTTATGTCTCCACATAGACATTCTGAATAAGAGTGTGTATAGGGACACAAGCAGGGCTCTATACATAGATAGTGCTCAGAACTTGCAGTCCCAAACAAAAAGGGCACGGAGTGATGACAAAGGAGAGCGTGGTAGTTGGGGTTTCCTCTAGTCTGTTTACGAAGTCATCAGGTTCCAGCAAATAAGGTCTTATTTTTGGGCATCACCAATTCTGACTCCAATTTAGAGAGCCTTGGGTACTTCTGGGGCTACCCTGACTCCCTGGGCCATCCCAGGTGACCTCTGCTACAAGAAGCATAAGAGTGAGACTCCCAGGAACAAAAGTGCGGCATCTGGGAGCCACCACATTCCCGGGCTCTCTGCCAGAGGGGGGTCCCTCGCTGACTCATCCCCACGGCATTCTTTTACAGGCAAAACTCAGCACAGCAATGTCACTGTGTCTGGCTGGGATCAGAAATAAAGTGGGTGAGTCCCCGGAGCAAATTGCTTGCTCCGAATTCACTAGAACCATCTAGAGTAAGGGACGTAGCAGGAGTCTCACGAGCAAGCGGGAAGCACGGGCGTCTCACTGGTACCACAAGCTGCCCTGGAGCGCAGAGCCGGTCCCGCCTCCGTGGGGGTGAGTGCCGTTGCCGACCGCTCTAGAGTCTCAGCAGACTGGCGGTGAGCACCGTTTCCCTCTCTCAGACCCAGCCCGGCCCGGGACACCGCCCTGCTCTGCAGGTGCAGCCGGTGCCGTGCACCCTGCGGGCGCTCACCTGCTGCTCTGTTTCCTCCGCCCACGACGGCCCCCCACTCCGCACCCGACACCCCCGGAGCCCCCGGCCCGCCGCTCAGAGCCCGGGACACCCCGCCACCGCGTGCCGCTACGCCCGAGTCGTCCGTGCCAGCTAACACCAAGGTCACTCGGCTCCCGTCGCCCGCCTGGCCCTGCGCCCACCTGTCATGGCGGAGGACACGGCGCCGCCCCACGGTCCTCGGCTGTCCGCCGCCCGGCCCGACGGCTCCGGTGACCGCCGCTGCAGGCCGGGCCTTAAGTCCGGCCTCTACCCTCTAGGCCCCGCCCAGCTACGGCGACAACGTCTCCAGTCTCAAGCCCTTCCATCCAACTAGCCACGCCCCTTCTCCGTGCCGAGCTCTGGGGCTGCGTTAGCAGTGGGCGGAACCGGGACTCTACTATAAACCACGCCCCTCACCGAAACCCGCCCCCTGTCATCTTAGACTCAGGCTTCCCCCGGGTGTTCCGAACTGCGCGCCCCAGTGAGCCCCGCCCATGAGAAGTTTAGGCAGAAGCGGTGACCGGAGCCCCGCCCCCTCCAGTTTAAGTAATCGGGCAGAGGAGCCCAGTCCGGCTCAGGTCCCTGTCAGGATCAGAGACCTCAAGCCCCGCCCCACGCACGGCCTCTCCAATAGCTCCTGGGGTCCGCGCCCCTTCGTTAAGCTCCGCCCCTCCTCCGGAACGGACCCGGCTGCTCTAGGAGGTTAAGAGGTAGGTGTGTGCTTCTCGGAGGCTCAGTTTTCCGCAGCTGCGCCCTGGCCACCCCACCACATCTCCCGGATAAAGAAACTGAGTCTTCAAAAAGAGACGTGAATTACCCAAAGTCACAGAGCAGGTCAGGACTGGAAAAAAAAAAAAGGCCGGTGAGCGTTCATTGGCACCCAGGAATTGAGACTTCACAGTGAGCTTGGTGGAACATCCTTTTATCAAGTCCCCTATTTACGAAAGGGGACAAGTGTCTGGCATTGCAGCCTAGTTAGGGAAGTTATTTAGCTTGACTGAGCCTCAGTTCTCGTAATTAAAAACACGCGGCCTCAGGCAAATCTTTCAACCTCCCACTTATTTCCCTTCTGTTGTAGGTAGGCCTGGCCCTTCCAGCTCTGGTGCTCACCACAAAAAGTCCCCAGGCCCAGGCCCAGCTAGGAAATGTAGGTCTGTGGGAGAGGCAAGACCCTCACAGCCGGCAATGGCAATGGCTGCAGGCACCAGTTTACCTGTCTCTGCTGGTGCTGCTACCGCAGCACATTTTAGAGCCAGAACTTGAGACGTTGGAACCAGACCAGGACTGCTGAAGGCCCCAGGTCTGGACACACTGCCGGGACAGCCCAGGAATCCCTGGGTCCCTGAGCCCTCTTCGGTCTCAGTTCTCCCCAGGGTTGTAAACTCTCATCTTGGGAATGGGAGGTTCAAAAGGCATCTGGAAATTGACTTGCAAGGTCGCTGGGAATTTCAAACTCTTGGACCCAGTGGTAGTGGTCGCTACACTCCTGCCCCATGCTAAACACTGCAGAAAATGAGGTTAGCTCAGATTCCCCAGGTATTTGGAGAGCTCCTCAGCACCAGTCTGTGCAGGCAGACGGACAGACAGCATGGACAGACCTTGTTCCAGGAGATAGTGTGCACCTGACCTACACATGTGCCTGGGCCAGATCCGGGCTACGTCCTGCCAGAGCCCCGCTAGGACCACATTGGGACCATTCTGAAGGGCCTCTGGGTACAGATTGACCCAATTATTCCACATATATCACTGCTATAGTAGTGGGGTGGGACTGAGGGCTCCCTGTGCCACCCATTTTTAGGCATCCCTTGCCAGACTCACCATCGGGAAGGCCAGCCTTCCGCCTTTACATCTTCTCCTGCGCACCCAACCTCCCTAGATCCCATGAGGGAAGCTGAGGCCTAGCGCAGAGTCCCCCACCCTAGGTCTAGCAGCCTGATGTGGCCTTCCAACTGCAGGCTTCTTGCTCGTTGGCACTTGAGAGTTTGTATGACATTTGATCCAATGACACCAACAGGAGGCCCTGCTACCCCAAGCGTGCAGGGAAAGAAGGCCTTAGTCTATGACAGGACAGCTATAGCCATACAAGGGGCTACCAACCACACCTGATGTCCACACCAGGATCTACACAAGGTGCAAGGCACTCCCTCAATCAGGGATGGGCCCTGGGTACTCCCACCTCATCCTGAAGGTAGGGAGGGGGAGATGGGCACAGACTGCTGCTCTCCCACTGGCAGGACCTGTGGACTTAAGATATGTGAGTGTGGAAAGTCTATGCAGACTCTAGGGTGCCAGCTGATGTTACACCGGACCTCCTGCCAAGCAGCTGGAAGTCCTTTTTCTTTGAGACAGCCAAAGGAAAGCCAGAGCTGGCTAGAGTCACAGCCAGTGAGTCCAGACTTACTCAGGACCATTGCTGTAGACGGAAAGAATAAAAGCCAGCTGCAGAAGATAACTCTGGTCTGAATACAGTAAGATTTGTATGGGGTTTACAGGAGGAGACTGTGGAGGCTTGGCAGATACCAAGAGGCTGAGGCTCAGTTGGTAGAGTGCTTGCTTGCCTAGCACACATGGAGCCCTGGGTTAGATCTCCAGCACCAAATAAAGTAGGCATGGCAGTGCACACCTGTAATCCCAGTACTCAGGGGGCAGGCAGGTAGATCAGAAATTCAAAGTTGTTCTTGGCTACATAGTTCAAGGTTAGCCTGGGATAGGTGAGGCTCTCTCAAAAATTAAGATAAAAAGAAAGGCATCATCTGGAGTAAGGGAAGGAATGGGGCTGGGGAGATGGGATTAGTCAGCCTGTCCCACGGCAAGAGGACCTGAGTTCAGAGCCACAGCATGCATATAAAAAGCTGGAAATAGGGCCGGACGGTGGTGGTGCACACCTTTAATCCCAGCACTCTGGAAGGCAGAGACAGGTGGATCTGTGAGTTCGAGGCCAGCCTGGTCTACAAGAGCTAGTTCCAGGACAAGCTCCAAAGCTACAGAGAAACCCTGTCTTGAAAAACAAAACAAAACAAACAAACAAACCAACAAAAAAAAAAAAAACCCGGGAATGGCAGCATATGCCTGTAATCTGAATGCAGATTTTAGTCTTCACATGCACCCACAAACTCATGTACATCCTCAAACATGTATACACACAAACATGCAAAGTGTAGGGGAGACTCTGGCTAAAGCAACTGCTAGGGTTTGCATTTCACGGCTCAAACTCATGCAGATTAATTCACACAATGAGGTGTGACCAGATTGGACTGCCAGGGGGTGATTAGGGCTCTGCCCTCTCGAATGGATTAATCCATCTGTGAATTAGTGGAGTAGGGGATTTGTGGGTTATGAGGAATGGCTTTGCAATGAAGGAAAGCTTGCTGCCTCTCACTCTGTCCTCCACTGAGCCGTCCAGCAGGAAGACTCTTGCCAGGGGCCCAGGAGATGCTGAGGGCAGGCCAGGGTGATCAGACACCACAGGGGTGGGGTGGGGTGGGGATGAGGAACTGGGCCTCTCCTAACTGAACCAAGCAGCTGATTTAACTCTCCCGAGGAATGGATTGTTTGTTCCCGCTGCCTTCTACCACCTATCATAATCAGCTCCAGATATCAGAGTCTGTCTCTTCGGCTGCTTCTTCCCTCCACCTTCTCTTTGCTGGTGCTTGAGTGTCACTTGGAGTCACCTGCTCTGTCTCAGTTGGCTCCTGGGACCTACCACTGCTACAGAAGTTGCCCCAGTCTCACGCTAATGGTACCCATCATATAGAAGGGGAAGCCTCTCCTTTGTGATTTGAGATTTTTCTCTCTGACAAGTCTCCTGATTCGCTTGAGGACATCTCAGATTGGAATTACTCTCCTCTCTTCTATCCGTGATCCTCCTCCCCACATTTTCAGCTCACTCCTGGAGCTCACTCTGCTCTTGGCTGCCTCCTCTCTAGCTTGGCCTCTCAGTTCCCTCCTGGAACTTTCTCTTGTCTCTAACCAGGGCTAGCCACTTGTTTCTCTTCATCTCCCTCTAGGAGCTGCCTGAGCTGTCTCTGTCCCTATAAACTTCCCACTGGAGCCTGCTGTTTAAGTCCCCCAGGGACAATGGGCAGTTTTACTATGTCCTCCTGGGTTTCTTAAGATGTTGGATTCCTCCTCTAGCAGTGTTCCTGTTCATGACCCTTTCCCCGCTCAACCTTTCCCACCTTCCCTTCACTCTTTTCTAAAAGATGTCTTTTTTCCTGCTTGTTCCATTCTCAGCCGGGTCCTGTCTCTAACCATGGGCTCTTCCCATTCAGAATATCCACTGCCTTCTCTAATCAATTTTCCTCCTTGAACTCGGAGATGCCATTAAGTCTCGCTGTTTTACTGCAAATGACTTGGCCTCAGTACAGCCCAGTGGCCAAAGATGGCACACTAGATTTCCAAATTCTCACAGACTGTAACAACTTCTATGCAAACAAATGATCCCAAAGTCCCTTATCTCTAAATTTTATTTGCTCTCCACTCTCAAAAATCTCTTATCTCTAAGCCTTCTTTGTTCCACAGATGGAGAGACCATCTGATTGTTAAATTCAGTTCTAAGAGATTCAGATGTCTTTGGGGTGTAGATAATACTAAAATTTTGTTTTATGTTGTTCTACTCTATAAAAAGTTGGACTATGGCCCTTTCTCTCCAGACCCCAGCATGCTTGTTTCAAGGTTTCCTCCAAAATCTCTGTCCTGGGTCAGGTAGGTCACCTGACTCTGTGACAAGGAGGAGAACAAAAACATAACAGCACAGGAAAAGACAGTATGTGTTTTATTTTATTTTTTTTAAATATTTATTTATTATTTATTATGTATACAATAGTCTATCTGTGTGTATACCGAAGACCAGAAGAGGGCACCATACTTTATTATAGATGGTTGTGAGCCACCATGTGGTTGCTGGGAATTGAACTCAGGACCTTTGGAAGAGCAGGCAATGCTCTTAACCACTGAGCCATCTCTCCAGCCCTGTCAGTATGTGTTTTAAACAGCCAAAAAGTAAACTATTCCCAATAGGGGTCTCAGCTGCTTCTCTCACACTCCTTCTCTTGATTTTGTCTAGTTCTCTAAATACTCTCATTTCCAGGATTTGTGGTGTGAAACTTAAGCCTGAAGAAGGGAACTAAGAACAAAGAAGTTTGTTTAAAACCAGGTATACTGATTAGACCATTGTCCTTCTCAAACCCCTAGAGAGATGCGATGAATATGGCATTGAAAGTGTTTACTGAAGAAGACTTTTCCTGATAGACAAAAGTGTTGGAACCAGTCCTCCAGCTGCTCTTTCCTGCTAGCGATCTTTACTAAAGGCTGTGTCA